TAGGTTTGTCTCTGTATTATTCTGTTTGTTCTTTTTAATCCAATCATAGCAATTTTTCTTTAGGTGTCCTACCTTGTTACAGAAGAAACATTTCCTAGATTCCCCTTTAGTTCTACCATTTCCTTTACTATTCTTCTTGTTTTTAAAGCCTACATTTCTCTGATGGGTTTTTCCATTACCTTTACTAGATTGCCCAACCTCAACTTTCCCTTTCACAAACAAATTGCTACCATTACGCTTCTGGATCTTTAATTCTAATTCCCTAGATTTTAGTCCAGAAATAATCAGGTCCACACTAGGTACTGTCCCACTATACTACAGTGCATTCTTAACCACTAAGTATTCTTCAGGTAGGGAATTTAACAGAATCATAGCAAGGCTTGAATCTCCTAGTTCTTGGTCAGTTCCTTTTAGGGTTAGGGTCATTTTTAAGAATTCATCAAGATTGTCATCTAGGGATTTAGTTATGTCCATTTTATAAGAAAATAAAGCACCTTTCAAGAAAGCTAAATTAGGGGCAGATTTAAGAGCATACAGAGACTCGAGTTTACCCCAGAGTGGAATTGGAGATTCCACACCATCCACCTTTCGCAACACGGTGTCTGACAGGTTCATAATGATCAAATTGTATGCTTCTTCGTCCACTTCTGCCTTTTTCTTTTTCTTTTTCTTTTCTTCTGGCCATATGGACTCATCATTTTCAAGTGCGATTCCGACCTTGTTGTGAGATAACAAGGCCTTCATTTTCTTTTTCCATGTATTAAAATCAATCTTCCCATCGTATTGGGAGATCTCCATACGAGTAGTGCTCATTATACTGTAATGACAGGGAGAAACAGTCTAAGAAGTACGTGGCATTGTTATACTAGAGGTTGCCAAGTACTGCTAAGTAGTTTTTAAGGCGGTTACTGGTGTTCTAGCCGAAATACTCTTAAATAGATTTAGGACAATTCGAAATCCTAATTCAAAAGAAAACCCCCAAATCCTAACAAAACCCTAATTTTGATTTTGCCCAAAATTCGTCGATCCCTTGTGTTTGTGACCTAATCTCATGAATTAATCCCAAGATTCAGCAAGATTTGAAGTCCTAATGGTCTAGGAACCTTTAAATCGAAAAACCCCCAAAAACTGACAAACCCTAATTTTTGAATTCGTCAAGAGTTAAACTATTCCTAAACCTAGATACACCTTAGACCTAAAGGCTCTGATACCACTGTTGTAAATACCCTCTACTCAAATCAAGCAAACATCAACCAACAAACACACAATCAACGTAAACCAAACAGATTCAACACACAGTATTTACCGTGGTTCACTTGTTCAATATTGAACAAGCTACGTCCATGTTGAGCTCCAGAATATGGATGCTCGCTGCACTTACTATTACGATCAAGAATGATTACAACCCTCAAACTCTCTTCCCTTTACAAGATTTCAACCAAGATCAACCAGGCTTTAGAATAACAAAGATAAACCTACAATCTGAACTAAGAACTCTATACCAGGTTCCCACCACACTAAGAAACACAACTTAATGGACAGATTATCCGCAGATTTACACTCACAGAAAACCCTAATCTTCTAACTCAGAGAGATATCAAACAGCGAGGAAAAACGCGTTGCCTCGAAACTGAAGGGTCATCTGCTTTTATAGGTTTGACTCAACTTAAGTCCTCAGCTGTCAGATCTGTTTTCAAACCAACGATCAGGATGAAGTCTCGGCTTAAGTCAAAACGGTGTCGCATAAGGCTTCACATTTTACAATCACCGTAAATCAACTAACTCAAAGCTTCGCAAACAAGGGCTTCACATATGGAGAAATAGTTACACTCTCAGGAAAGAGCATTGTAGAAAAAATGTCTTTTTCCAATCAGTTTTCTATCAACGCAAATGTCAGCGTCGGAATCCAACACTTTTTTCCAATGCAATACAATGTTTGAATATTAAATTAACTTTTTAACCTGCTACGACGTAATTTAAATCATTACTGCCTTGCATGCAGGAGCACAGTCCATTGGATGCTCTCATTGCGCTTCATTCAATGATAGATTATACAATTTTAATGGAAGAAATAGTCAGGACCCAACTTAGACTCCCTGTACGCAGCTCAGTTGAAGAGACAGTGCCCACTAGGTAGCACCGATCCTAATTTGTTTGCTCCAATCAACCCTTCGAGTCCGAACGTAATACTATGTTCATATTCTAAACAGCCGAGGCTTGTTCACATCAGACCAGACTTTGCTTACAAAAACCAATGATAAGTTGCATAAATTTAGTGTTTTTAGGTTTGTTTTTATAGCCTTCTAGTTATTTTCTCATTTGTTTTCTGTGTTTTGATGTTAGTTTTTGTTAAGTTTGAAATATGAATGGTTAGCTATTGATTTGGAGAATTTTTGTAATTTTCAGACGTTAATTGAGTAGATTGGAGCATTGGAATGAAATTGGAATTCAAAGTTTGAAGAAATTGAGATTAGCTGACAAGTTTGAAGGCCATGGCCTTGCCTTGGTGGTTCACCACGGCCGTGGTGGTGGAATGAAGATAAAATAACGAGGACAGGAAACACCATGGCCTAGGCTGTGGTGACGTACATTTGGACACGGCCAGGGCCGTGTCGGATACTTTTAGGGTTTTTTATTAGTTTTTCTTTCCTTTTTCACTTAGGACTCTTTTGGGTATTTAAGGGTGATTAAGATTACTCCTGAGGGAGGCCGAATTTTACCCATTCTTGGAGAGAGATTATTGTGTAACAAAAGAGAAAGGAGAATCAAGAACAAAATTCATCAAAGAGTTTGTTTTTACTTTTCCATATGATTTATTTCTTGGATTCTACTCTTGTTTCTTTTATTATGAACTAATTTTCTCAGGCTAAGACTAGGGTTAGTCTATTTATGGATCTGTGATCAATCTTTTACTCTTTGGTTAGTGAATTATTTTTCTAATGATGAGTTTATATTATGTGCTTAATGCTATTAGGAACTTGATCAATTTCTGATAGAATTGTTTTGTGTGATTGAGACCGAGAGGAGATATCACATGAGTGCTCTAGTAATATAGGCCATGGATTAATTGGATATAGAGATATATGAATTGATACATGCAATAGTCATAGGCAGGATTAACTTGTGCTGAAAGCTAGAGGATTTCATAAAGCTTAATGCTCGTCTATTTCATTAAATCTATATAGAGATATCTAGGTTATGAAATAGAAGTAGAATTAATATTGCTTGAGAAAGAATATTGGTTAACCTAGGAAATCCCGTTGTCACATTAATTAAATAAATTCATTGACCATAGTAAATTGAGGGGAGCAGAGAAGTTATAGATGAGCCTGAAGTCTTAGCCGTTTTCTCTCATTGAATTCTTAATTTTAGTTTTACTGCAATTCGTTTCTAATATTCCAGATTTTAATATTTTTAGTTTTAAAGATCACCATTTAAGTTTTGATTATCTAGATAAAGTTAAGACTAATTAATATTTCAGTACTTGTTTACGCAATCCCTTGGGTATGATAATCTGTATTTTGTTGCACTATATTACTTGAGACTAGTACACTTGCTAGTAGTTGTTGCAAACGACACAACAACCAACAATGGGTTAGCTAGTGTTAAAGGCTTGGGCAAAGAGATTTGCTCCTCTTGTGATCTTGGGTTCGAATCACAAGAACGGTTGCTAAAATTATTGGTCATGGACCGTAAGATTTGTCCTGTTTCAGAAGCCTTGTTTGGGGTCCAAAGACTAGTCAAGATGCTCGTAAGATAACCTAGATACCCTCGATAACCAAAAAAAAAATAATAATAAATAACTTTGCTTACAAACCCAGAAAAAGCAAGCCAACTGAATCAAAATGCGAGGAGATCTAACCTTTGGAAGAATAAATTTACTGATTAATCTGCAGGTGTGTACATTTCAGGTTGAAAATTAACGCCCAGTTCCATTATGTTTCTGTTTTCTATTTTTTATTTTCATTTTTCCTCGTAAAATATAATATGTTTGTTCGTTTATGTTTATTTTTTTTAATAATTTTTTTATTGTTTCCTCGTAAAATTAACGCCCAGGTGTGTACTTGTTTATTGAATTAATTGGTTTTATCAATGTTTTAAAACCCAACCTAAGGTGAAACCCGACAAAGTTGCCGGGTCTCAGGTTGACCGATTTAACCGGTTTGACTGGCAATCAAACCGGTTGACAAAAACTTCTAAAATTCAGTAAATATACCCTTAAAAATTACTGTTAAATCCCTATAGGTTTGAAATTTGGTAAACACACCATAAATACAAATCGACCGGCGACTGGTTGGTGGTGATGACACCCCAGATGCAACCTCAATCGTCCCTTGAGCCCATTCTCCTTAAAACATACCAAAGATCTGGCCAAAATAGGATCGATTTCGGCCAGATCTCATCAACGCCAGCGTCGACAACCCTCCCCATCAACCAAAAATTACTCTCCTCTTCCTCCCGACCAAAACCCACCTCACCCACCCGCGTTAGCCTTGTCAATCGCCGACAAAAGCCAGTTGTTACTGCCACCAGTTTTGTTCGATTTCTGATCGATTTACTTACTGGAAATCAACTCCGTCACCACCATTGCATTCACCGACACTTTCTCTTCAAAAGACCCAACATCCCAGCCGTCAATTGTTCTCCGATCACCCTCCCAAATCCTAGGGTTTTGGGTGAATAAGAAAAATATAAACATAGCCCGTTGAAGCTTCCAAGTCCCGATTGAACCGGTTAAACCAACCAAGCCGGACCGAGTTTTAAAATATTGGGTTTTATTGCGGGAAGCCTAAAGAACTCAATTTTCTGTGCAACTGATTATTCATTTTCACATAATCTGTGGAACATATATATATATGAATGATAAAACAATCGTCCAGTTTTACATCGTGTGCTTGGACAGTCAAAATAGCTTCATTAATAAACAAGATCAATACTAACAAATTGCATTGCACAAGGCAGTACCATTAACTAAAGTATTAACACTCAAAAGGACTACCGATTGTCTTCACAAATTCAGACCATGTTCGAAACCCAGATCGAGTTCAGAAGTTCGGTCACGGTTATATACCTATACAGCTACCAGTCATCAGCTCCCTTCGATACACCAAGAATAATTGCAATGGTAGCAAGAACAGCCTGCACATACAACCAGAGAAATAAATGAGAATCTCGCAAACAAAATTTAAAGAAAACATTGTGTTTACATTTCCAGTACGGGCAAAACAATTCAAATTATTGAATTCAATGATAGGTTAAAATGCAAGCTAGGCCAACAATTAGCATTTATAGTAACAATACAAGCAAATATTGAAAGAGCATAAAACAAAGGCTTATAATCGGAATCTATTGATAGTGATCAAGGTAGAGCTAATGCCGATCTAAAAGAATATAATGTTTGACGATTTGCATACCACAAAGAAAAATGCTAAAGGTAAGAAGCCGGCATGGAACATCCTTAAATTAAATCATCAACATGCTTGCAGAAACTTATGAACAGAATTTTTTTAGTCTAAGCAGTGTGCAACACAAAAACTGCCAAACAAAAAGGTGGAATAACTCAGGAACTTGGTAACAATATGGGTAGCAATACTTCTTCACCAGATTGGTAGAAAATGATGTGAAAAGCAGCGAATGCATCTACCATAAGAGTCTTGGTAACCGTAGTATTATTTGTTTGATAAGAAGAGATTAATAAAATGAAAGCAAACTTGGTAGTGAACAATATGCTTCACTCAACCCCTCCCCCTCTGTATTCTCCTGCCTGCCCCCTCTCCAATTGTATAAAACAATCATAATTAAAAAGTTACAAAGAAATTTTGGACACCAAAATGTAAAAAAAGAAGCACCCAACAAACAATGGAAACAGAATTCTAGCAGTTCAGTATTCTGACAATCACTTTTCCTAAATTTATAATAAAGCATTTTGCAAATAGCAAACTTGAAAACAATTTGGCCACCGGCTGGAATTTCCAACGTTGTAAGTTATACATTTCTTCTCACAATTAATGATCTTACTCAAAGTAAAAACTGGAGATAAAATCTCCACACCCCCAATGTAAAGAATGGGGTTAGTCAAACCATTAGAATAAGTTTAATTGGTGAGGCAATATTCATTGAAGATGAGAAATGATTATTAAGCCACTTGATCAACCTAGATCCGATATCACTGATATCATGTTAAGTTACCACTTAACCCAAAAGTTTAAAATAATATTGTACGGACTAACAATAGTATTTAAGCTCTAATAGAAACAAAAGTTAATTGTTTCCAAATCACATGCGCTAACTTTCAACGCTACATAAATAAACCATCAAATCACATGCGCTAACTTTCAACGCTGCATAAATAAACCATCATAGCTCGCCCACTACACACCACCACCACATTGTAGTCACCAATACTGCCCATCTCAGTACAAGAAAACATAGGTAGGACTCATTGTGAAAAGTGAAAAAAAGAGTCAAAATTCTTCTTCTTTGTATATCTTAACATCTTGGAGACGTAAAAAGTGATTGCATATGTCATGCTCAATAAGAAAAGTCATTCTTTGTCAGGATTCCATATATAAATTAAAAGACAAGGCTGAATGAAAACATCATTCCAATATTCACCTTTGACATTTGCAATAAAGATTAAAATGCAAAGAGACGTCTGTTAAGTAACTTATGTAGCAAGAGTATGATAAACTTTGATGTTCTTATCATACATGACATGAACTTCACGTGATGATATACCCATATAGATGGAATAGCACCTCGAAATAGCAGCTAGGTATAATGACAACTTTAAGTGGAAATCAACAAGCCAAAACATAAGAGAATTTTCAAAACTAAAAGTAAAACTTATTGTAAAAAATAAATAAATAAATAAAAAGGAAATATTTAGCACAGGACAGGCCTTGGAATCAAATGAAACTACAGGAATGAGTTACTCACAGCTATGGTGCAAGCAATATATCCTGGTTTTTCTCGGGGATCTATCCTTGCGCATAGTAGAACAAAAAGCCCAACATACCAAGGGATGGCACCAAGGAAGAATCCGATAATAAACCTGGAAAAAAAAAAAAGGCAGACAATTCTTCATTATCCACACCATGAATTAACAGAGCAATTGTCAAAAGTTTAAAATCATAATTGAAGGTCTAGACTAAGAAGGATACAAAAATTAAGATGTCATAAAATATGAAAGTTTTAGACCCTTAATTTTCTTAAGCCCATAACTTATAGATTAGTATATAAAAGGAAGCAAAATCCACCAAAAACAATGCAACTTGTTTTCCTGAGGAGTCAGATACAACTTTTTTAGAACATGATTGCTGCATAAATTTCACGTGAAAGGATATAGATAAAACTGATAATATTACAAGCTTATATCATATCTGCTAAATTCAACTCTTCCAAATTACAATCCAAAATTGAGGGAAGAAAAACAATTGTAACTTACAACAACCATCCAACACCAATACCACAGCAAGGAAGGCGACGCTCTCTCACCGGTCTCCCTTCAGCAACAGCATAACCTATAACAACATCACCGCATATCTTATCAATACTAACAAAATTTCCCCACTAGAATTTTATAAGCACAAAAAGAAGAATCTAGATGATCAATTGAATACTTCATTCTGAATGAAAAACAACTCAAAATTCTCTAACAATCCTGTTAAAATATCAAATTTGCGTCAATCTAGTATGGTACTGACCCGGTAACATTACCAGGTCATACAACACAAGCATTTACCAATCAAGCTTAATACTAAAAAAAACTAAGCCACAATTCACATCTCGCTACAATTATTAACCATTTCCCATTTAGTTTTTGACTTAAACATCAGAGTGGCTACACGGCCGCCCTCTCACAACATTTTTACTCTTTTTTGTAATCACAACAAAAAGCTACCTTCTCAACTGTTGGTGATAAAAGCTAATCCACATTTAAGCGTCAACAACAACCGGATCAAGTGAACACTTTATTACAAATAAAAAACAACCCAAACAACACATAGTCAAAGTTATCTCTTTTCTAATAGCAGCATCCAGATGCAACAAACGGACATGAATTAACAAACCCATTTATAATCCTACTTAACTTTAATACTTTTCACTAACACCGCTATAAAAATTGAAACTTTATGTCAATGCAGGTTAAAACGTCATTTAAAGTTGCAATTCCCAAAAAATAAGGAAGTGGGTCAATCTGAATTGAATTGAATTATGTACCTTGCACAGTTTGGTAGCCGTGAGGATAGTAAGGTGCGGAGGGCTCTGCAGCACCCGGCGGAGGAACAGGCTGAGGAAAGCCAATTGCCGGCGGAGGAGGAGGAGGATAATTAGCTACACCTTGAAACGTACCATATTGAGGTGGTGGTGGAGGAGGTTGTTGTTCATGGTGATGATGATGATGATCAACAACAACCGCTCTGTTTTTGTCTTCTTCACTCATGCTTGGTGGGATCTCTCAAAGCTTTGATTTTGCAGGGTGCGATCTCTCAACGGTTCGATTTTTTTCTTTTGTGATTTTAATTAAATTTCTGAATTTGTTTTGGTGGAGAAGAATGAATCAAATGAAGCTGTCTGTTATTAATATATAGTAGAGTAAACGACATGTACCCACCCAAAGTTTAGCGAATTTACATTGTCCCACCCATGGTTTCATAAATTTCACATGCCCACCCTTAACTTAACACTGTCAGTGATTTTTAGTTATAAAGACTGTTATTACCAAACTACCCTTGACAAATAAATTAATAATCTATTTTTTAACACTCAAAATTATAAGATAACCACATTACTGTCAAATTTATTTAAATAACAACCTCTTCTTCAACCTTAGATTGAAATCTGACTATCGCACCCCTGTGACCCTAGATCCGCCGCAATCTGCCATTCTTCACCACCATCTCCGCCCCAAAACCATCAAATTAGCAACCATGACCACCCAACAACCCAAACAATCGCGCAAGGGGAAATGATATGTACCATATGTCAATATAGTAGTTGCGAGAGTTGCCTGGAGTGCAGAAACCCAGTTCAAATATTCCACCTGTAGAGATTAACGTCCTTTTTCCTGAAAGAGTCTGGCCAGGTGAGACTGTATCAAACCCTTCAGAGAAACGGATTTCATAAAATAGTAACAAGAGAAGCAGCAAAAACACAGAAAACCATGTTTTCTTGATTATAATAACCATTTCTTTGCAAATTTATAGTAGCCAGCGAAATTGGCTTCAATTTTTTGCGTATAATATTATACTCTTTCCAATTCATGTACGACTTTTCAAAAAAAAAAAAAATTCTCCCCAGTAATGATCAAGCAATCTGCTTCTTAAAGTCTTCCCATACCACAATATAAATTCCAATAATGTTTGACTAAATGCAACGTCTCAATTGTCGGCTTTAATTGTCGTGGCAGCGCCTGAAAACCATAGATCTGTGTCGCTGGAGTGCAGGAGGTGGGCGGCGGTCTGGTAGGGGTGGGGTGTGAGAGGGGGTTGAGGGGCGTCAGAAATCAGCCAAACATTCAACCAGTTAAAAGGGACTAGCGTTTTTTATTTTTGGGTAAAAGACTTAAACACCCTTTGACAATTATATTAAACGGTTTGTGTTAATTTTAAAGGTGCGAATTTGGAATTTCTGAAACCATGGGTGACAACTGTAGTTTCGCTAAACCTTGGGTGGGTAGAGGTGTTTACTTTATATAATAATTTACGCAAGAATGATGGTGACCTGGTGTTGACGTGGTGTTGACTGTTATTATTAGCTTTCTCTAATCTGGCATTGCCTTAATAAATTATATATTTAATTTTTCTAAATCATTTACCTAAGGGATAATTAATAAACATTTTTTGTATAACTTGATATAATTAATGTAACTAAATGAAAGTTAATTACAAAATACTTCTTTTGGAATTGGGTCTACCTTTGGTGTTAGTCTATGTGAACATGATAATGTTCTTTGAAGTCCATAATGAATATTTTCTATTTTATAAAAGTGGTGTTTCCCATAATTCAATGAATGTTTATGAAATAATATATAATTATCATAAAATAATGCATTAATTAGACTCATTCAATATAATAATGTAGAGTGTTCCTGAATAGAATGGTCATCCAAATGGAGGATCTGCCAAAGAGGATAAACAAAGCAAGATCAGCAGCAATCTAAGCTGGAGATTCTGCAGTTTGATATGAAAGAGTTCACACTTCAAAAATATCACAAAATGGAAAAGATAGGCATGACATTAGATCAAAACACATGGTAGGCCCTGCCATTCATTCATGTGCCCCATTCACTAAAGGATAAATCTTTTACCTCCTCCAACTCTCAAAATGCTTTGACACAGGACATATATGTCTCTTTCAGAAACAATATTTCCCACCTACTAAAAATTAATGCACATCACATCATTTCTATAATTACTTAAACATACCCATTTGGGTTTTGGCTTATGACTAATCCAATAGTTATCAAAGGCGAGTATTATAGCGCCTCAAGAAAAGGAAATTCTAACAGACAATAGGATGATCAAAGTTGAAAGTGGTTCAAATCTTTGCAATCAATAAAGTTCAACAGTCAACACCAGCCCTTACATCATAGTTTACAATCACCATTGGTATGACCATCTTCATCAGGCCAATTCGTTATGTAGTTACTTGGAAACTTTTTATTTATTTTTTATTAGTTCATTTTACTCCCAAGGGCAATTATACATCATTTTGTACAAATCGTAATTTGAATTCCCCAACAACAATAGAGGTATCGAGAATAAAACTTGTTAGACACCACTCAATAAAGGCTCATCAAGCTTTGGAAGCCGGCACTTGCATCCCACAAACCATATTTGCAGGAACTGCTACGTCCATCATTTTCGGATATGACAGTTTTAGATCTGTTTGGTAAAGAATGTACTGAGTTAGTGATTTGATAGGCGTAGCAAGGATTAAAATTTAATCTAAGAGAAAAAATTGCTTCACAAAAATTGACATATTATTACTTACTGGCCATAATGTCTTTGAAACCTTCCTGCAAAAACACCACATAACGTATTGTTATACAAAAGAAATGCATAAAATGAAAATCAAGAGTGAAAGCTCTCTCAAGAAAAAGGAAAGAAGATTTATCTTCAACCAGATGCAATAAATGATAAACAGAAGTTTTTCCATTCTATGATTTCCTTCAGATACTCCACAACTTGCTTAAAATGCAAACCAATGGTTAATGAGTCCAAGAAACTACAGAGCTCGTCACATATTGATCTTGGCTGAATTTTACAGAAAGTTCAATTGACGAAGTTATCTACTAGATGAAGAACGGTAACATAAATTTAAAACTTTTGTCTTCCTCAAAAAATAAACAATTTTTTGGCTAGAAACATTTTACTTCTTGCATTACAGGTGTCAACAGAAAATAAATCATGGAGAAAGAAGGTACCAAAGATAGGATTAATTGTATTTGTACCAATTTGATACCAATATTGGGCTCCCAATTCATTAAGTTATAGAGTAATGCTAGCCTTACTCCTCCTTCTTACTCCTTTCTCTTACTCACTCATATGGTAGGTGGGTGTAAGAAGAGAGAGAAGGGAGTAAGAAGCGAGATTAACATGAATGAGTAAGAGAAAGGAGTAAGAAGGGGGAGTACGGCTAGCATTATTCTAAGTTATAAGGTGTACTTGTATGGGCAACCTGCTCAGTTGTTTTTACCACGAATGACAATCATCAATTGTTGTATTCTTAAAAAATAAAAACATTAGAGGATTTCAACCCTTTCTAATTTACATATAAACCTATAATTGTCAACTTTGTTCTGTAGATGGCATAGTGTTATAATGAATTTCATAGAATGAATCCCTGAATCCAGTTTTTCCTGGTACCAGACAGAGCTAAAAAACGTTTCTTTAGCCAATTGATTAAGACATGAACGGTGAACTAAACCTTATAAATCAGAAAATCCACTATTCGGCCAACGAATTACCTCATCCTTTGTTAGGCGAGGATTGTATTGAGTCTCCTCTCCCACTGTGCTGACCTGAAAACAAACAACTATTGTAGAAACAACNATCTACTAGATGAAGAACGGTAACATAAATTTAAAACTTTTGTCTTCCTCAAAAAATAAACAATTTTTTGGCTAGAAACATTTTACTTCTTGCATTACAGGTGTCAACAGAAAATAAATCATGGAGAAAGAAGGTACCAAAGATAGGATTAATTGTATTTGTACCAATTTGATACCAATATTGGGCTCCCAATTCATTAAGTTATAGAGTAATGCTAGCCTTACTCCTCCTTCTTACTCCTTTCTCTTACTCACTCATATGGTAGGTGGGTGTAAGAAGAGAGAGAAGGGAGTAAGAAGCGAGATTAACATGAATGAGTAAGAGAAAGGAGTAAGAAGGGGGAGTACGGCTAGCATTATTCTAAGTTATAAGGTGTACTTGTATGGGCAACCTGCTCAGTTGTTTTTACCACGAATGACAATCATCAATTGTTGTATTCTTAAAAAATAAAAACATTAGAGGATTTCAACCCTTTCTAATTTACATATAAACCTATAATTGTCAACTTTGTTCTGTAGATGGCATAGTGTTATAATGAATTTCATAGAATGAATCCCTGAATCCAGTTTTTCCTGGTACCAGACAGAGCTAAAAAACGTTTCTTTAGCCAATTGATTAAGACATGAACAGTGAACTAAACCTTATAAATCAGAAAATCCACTATTCGGCCAACGAATTACCTCATCCTTTGTTAGGCGAGGATTGTATTGAGTCTCCTCTCCCACTGTGCTGACCTGAAAACAAACAACTATTGTAGAAACAACTATTTCAAATAGATAAGAAAAAGAAGTATTGAATGTTTCCTCACTGTGAATCCTTTGTAATCATGAGCTGGATAGATTAATGTGTCCTTTGGCAATGTAAATATCTGAAACAAATGGTGACCATGAGTAAGAATTTGAGGAAGTATTAGCGTCATAAATTATTTTGCAAGTTGCCCTTCCCTTGTTCACTGCAAAATATTAACAAACATAATCTCATGTTCTTGCCTGTGAATGCACAGACTTGTAGAGCTGCGCTGAGCTTCCTCCCTGCAAAAAAATAACTGTATTAAATCTTTGCAGCATAGCATTCTATAAAGATTAAGAAAACAAGAATCCATGGTACTCTGTAAATGAAAAAAAAAAAAAAAAAAAAAATTGAACATCTCTGTTGTTATAGGATGATAAAGAAGCACAGACAACATTCAGCACAATGTATACTTATTTTCTTCAGTCTTCCAGTATCAGATAAAATTGTCAATGCAGAAGAAATTTTTATCACAGATAAAAAGTGGTATAAAACAAGCAAAGTTACATAATTAAAAGATGAGATTCATCAAATGATAAGGTAGAGACAGTTTAGTATATGACAAGCAAAATCTAGAACTAGAACATGTATGAGGTCCCATGGAACCACACTGACATACAATGTTTTAGATAGCATTTGAATGCATACTTGGGAGTCTAACAATGTAGAAACAACCTTGTGAACCCCATATCAAAATGTAAACAAAAAATCAGATATTGCTATCCTGAATCATCCCTCTAATAAACTAATAAACTTTTATAGATAGAAATAGCCTTCTTGATATTAATTGAAAATGCTGCAGACTCAATTTCAAATATGGTCGTGAAACAAACACTACTTCAGTTTCCATTGGTAAGCAAAGAACACATCTAGAAATTAGCACTTCATGAAATGTTAGAATGACCCAAAACTGAGATAAAAGAGAAGCCAATTCATGTGGCATAATCCTCTTTCCTTTGACTAGATAGAGGGCGAAGTTTTGATGTTAAAACAATTTTCAGCATCACTTAAGATCCAGATATTTGAAAATTGCATCAAGAATTATATGGAAATGGTTTCCTTTATGACCAATTGTAGAACAGTATATTTTAAGAACCCTGTACCTGAAAATCAGTCCTCCCACATCCACGTATCAGTAGGACATCTCCTGTGAAAGCCATCCTTGGTTGAGGCTGATCAGGCCCTTCTCCTGTAACATAGGTAACACAACCCAATGTATGTCCAGGAGTAGCACGAACCTGCATTTATTGAGTTCAGTAGGCAATCCAAAGTGAAAACTAGATCTGTCAGGCACAAAAACATATCCAATGACATACAACTTTATGTAAGAAAATCAGCATTCATAGATATATATTTTTCGTCAGAAAGTAGACCAGAAATGTACTCCATTTTATAGATCAAATTTATCAAAAGTCCAGTATCCAGTGCAGATCGCTCTTCAGGTAACTTATGCAATTAAATTTATATAAGATAACAACAGAAAGAATCTCTTTGCCAAATAATTTTTAATTATCCGAAACGTTCTAAAGCAGGTGGTAGTCTAATTGTCAAAAATAGCATTACCTCTCTATAATCATTGCTTGCCATGAGGCAACTTTCAACCATGCAGCATTCTATACTTGCTCCCAGATATCACTCAGTCATATTTGTTTTTTCATTCACTCTAATTTGATCCTATTGAAAAGATATATTACAAAATGAAGACAAGTTTACTACTAGCTATGGGCTAACAATACAACAGAATCCTAGAAGCCACCTCAAACTTATCCTCACAATACAAAATATAAATTTCAACCTGAAACTCTGCTTCATATTACTGAAACAACACTTCAGTTTAGAAGCCACCATTCTCAGAGTTCTTTACACCAAAAGCAAATAATATACAGTATCAATATATTGCAGAAGCTTATTGATCCCCACCTCAAGAAAGAGATCGCCAAAACGGATATTTTCCCCAGGTTCAACCAGAACATCTGCCTTTGACCCACTTGCTTTTGAAATAATAGATTTTACTCCAGGAAGCTTACTCTGCAAGAAACAAATACATTCACGATCACCAAATGAGTTACAAACAAGACATCATAAACTTGGAATCAACGCCACAAATGGATAATTCGATGACGAAAAAACCTTAATTAGCCCAGTTCCAGTGACATGATCCGCATGTACATGAGTGTTCATGGCATAAACAAGCTTCACACCCAATTCCTTAATCAGAGACAAGTCTCTATCCACCGTCCTGTCGACCGGGTCGATCAACTGCCAATACATATATTTCAACATCATATCAAATTCCCGGTTCACATTAGAATAAGAATAAGAGAAAATAAAACACATTTACATGATCAAGTTTCTCATATAAAAAAGGCACAATTCAACACAACTTCCCAAAACAAAAAGGAGTGAAATCCCACTTACATTACTGGAACAATAACAGAAAACAGAGAAAACCATTTGGTTTCGTATTCTGATTTCACCAAATTATCATTTTCTTTTCTAATTTGCAATGCTACATTCAACTAGTACTAATAACTTTCTATCCTCAATAGCTAAGTGCCAACAAAATATTTTCATGTAGTTGATTCAAAAACAATTTTCAATTTCAAATATTTTTCACATCCAAAAATGTGTTCTTTATCAGATTTAAAATTATGGAAACAAAGAAAAGGATTTATTGTCGTTTTCTTAATTTTCCAAAACTCTTTATAAACTGCAATTGGAGAAGTGGAATTAGAAGTTACTGACGAGAGCGGGTTTATCCGGGTGGGAGACATCGGCGAGAAGGTAAGTGTAAGTGCAAGATTCTCTCTCGAACAGTTGACGAAACAACAGCTTTGAAGAAGAAGGAGACGACGTCGTGTAAGAAGAACCCATTTGCAATTGCGCCTTGAACTTGAGGATGAGAGGAGAATGGGAAGTGGGTTTGGGAGAAAAATTGGATATGGAGAGAAAGTTGGGTGAAAGCAAAGTGGATTTAACAAATCTCAAACGAAGCATAGCTTAGAAGAAGGAAAACGAAAACGAACGAGTCAGGATTTGTCGTGGAGCTCTGAGTATTTTAATTGAAAAGGAAGCGGCATAGAAGAGTTCGTCACAGAAACGAGGTCTCAATCAATAATTCATCGCCACCGTCTCTCACCCGAGTCCAGAGTNCTTCCCAAAACAAAAAGGAGTGAAATCCCACTTACATTACTGGAACAATAACAGAAAACAGAGAAAACCATTTGGTTTCGTATTCTGATTTCACCAAATTATCATTTTCTTTTCTAATTTGCAATGCTACATTCAACTAGTACTAATAACTTTCTATCCTCAATAGCTAAGTGCCAACAAAATATTTTCATGTAGTTGATTCAAAAACAATTTTCAATTTCAAATATTTTTCACATCCAAAAATGTGTTCTTTATCAGATTTAAAATTATGGAAACAAAGAAAAGGATTTATTGTCGTTTTCTTAATTTTCCAAAACTCTTTATAAACTGCAATTGGAGAAGTGGAATTAGAAGTTACTGACGAGAGCAGGTTTATCCGGGTGGGAGACATCGGCGAGAAGGTAAGTGTAAGTGCAAGATTCTCTCTCGAACAGTTGACGAAACAACAGCTTTGAAGAAGAAGGAGACGACGTCGTGTAAGAAGAACCCATTTGCAATTGCGCCTTGAACTTGAGGATGAGAGGAGAATGGGAAGTGGGTTTGGGAGAAAAATTGGATATGGAGAGAAAGTTGGGTGAAAGCAAAGTGGATTTAACAAATCTCAAACGAAGCATAGCTTAGAAGAAGGAAAACGAAAATGAACGAGTCAAGATTTGTCGTGGAGCTCTGAGTATTTAAATTGAAAAGGAAGCGGCATAGAAGAGTTCGTCACAGAAACGAGGTCTCAATCAATAATTCATCGCCACCGTCTCTCACCCGAGTCCAGAGTTGGACTCCGTTAGCCAAGTTTGTTTTCGTTGTTTAGTTTTAGTTTTTTCTGTTTTCTTTGTTTTTTGTTTTTTGTTTTTTCCTTTTCTTTTTTTTTATTTGAGAAATTGTTCTGCTTTTAGAAACAGATTTACATATAATTTTTAAGTTAAATTTTTACATTTTTTTATTATAAACCTTTTTTTTGGTAAAAATAGAAAGAAAAAAAACTAAACATTTTAATACCAATTTTGAAATTTAAGAAATAAATGCTACTCTTTTTTTTAAAACATGGTGCTAAACATATGATTAATAATTTAATCTCCTAATATCAAGATTGAGTACACATTTATGCAATGTATGATCATATTTCTATATATTAATTTGTAATTTACATATGTAACATACCCTAACAGTTTTTTTAAATATTCAGTGACCATTATCTTCTAATATTTATAAAAATAAGTATAAAATAATTTTCCAATTTTTTTTTATTTGACAGAAAAAGTGAAAAATAAGAGAAATTATGATGAGACACGTGTTGAAAACTTAAAGAAAATATCAAAGGAATGGTTCTAAATCAAAGAGAAAAATAAAGATGTATCCCATCAACCAATTCTCACCTTAAATGGGAGTTAACGACATGTTCTCAACCAAAAAATGACCCATTGACAATTTCATACCCACCCATTTTTTAAAAACCCTTTTACTACCCAAATATTATGTTTTGGGTGGGAAATACAATGATTTACGAAAATATCCTTAGCCTCTTCCATTGTCGCCTGGGAGGTAGGTGCTGCAATTAATCGAGCAGGTGGTGTGCTACCTTACGGCAGCGAAGTTGGCGTGATATGGGAGAGAATGGTGGCTGAAAAATACACAAGACCAACAATCAATCAAAAGCGACTAATCCAACACCAAAAACACTAACAATTTGCGAAGAAAATCGCTGCAAATCGCGATTGTCCCACGGTGTAACGAGTTAGACATATGCGGCAAATGGCATGCACGGAGGGTTGAGGGAGGGGTGGGTTTTGAAGAGCAGAGGGTTGGGAGTTGAACGGTGGTGGCAGGGGGCATTTTGGGTGACTAAATTGGCCCAAAAAAAGGCCAGAAAGATGGCAAATCGCACAAAATCTCAAGCGGCGATTTGAGGCGATTGGCAGGTGCATTGAGGTCGGGGTGAACGAATTAAGGTGAGAGAGGCTCGAGGAAGAGGATGGAGGAGGCGGTGAGTTTCAGGGTGGATTTTCGACACCGGAAATGACAGAAATCCAGCTGTCGTGTGAATGGAGGTGGTGGTGGGAAATGGTGAGTGATGACGGTAAATGGAGGCTTGGTCTTTCTAGAGGAAGTGATAGGGATTTTGTGAGTGGTCTCGGAAGTGATTTTGGATGCCAAGATCTGCCAAAAAGGGGGAAAAACCATCAGCCATCTCCTTGCTAACGTGCGCCTACCCTTTTATTTTCTCTTCTCCGGTGACCAAAGGTTTGTTGACCATTTTGCCTTTACTAATAACAAACTTTTGACCAAATGTTTGTTAATTTAAGGGAGTTAACGACATGTTCTCACCCAAAAAATAGCCAGACAAATTCATACCCACCTACTTTTTAAATACCTTTTTAGTACCCAAAGGTTAGTAAAGGAAAATTACTAATTAATAGAAGCTTTTGCCTTAATGCCTACTCACTCCAAATCCATAATCATATGACGTCCATTTTTTTTTTTTTTTTTTTAACGATTGGTGGTGTTCGGTTCAGTTTATACTCACCTCATCTAATTCTCTAGGACTGGAAACTATCGGTCGGAAAAGAGCTTTAGTAACTATCCCTATTAACATCCGAGTCTTTTCCCTTATTCAATATTACTTATTATATTATCAATCAATATTAATTATGCACTTTGTACTAGGCAATATTTTTCAAGTACTTCCAAGGGGAGATATCTACAAAATATGCACGAAAATAAATATTTAACTAATAAGATTGCACTGTCTATGTATTATTGTGATAGGATTTTATCAAATGTGCATATTGGGTCCGTTTTCTTTGTCTTTGTCGTAAGGATTCTAATAAAATATAATAAGCTCACACATTACAAAAATCATAGATAAGATAGCATTGTCAATGAGCTCTGATTCATCAATGTGCATGTGGGCTGAATTTTGGGGTCATTCATGAATGACGATTTGCACATTCCAAAATCACCAATGAGCTTGCATTGTCTGTAGTNTTATTTGACAGAAAAAGTGAAAAATAAGAGAAATTATGATGAGACACGTGTTGAAAACTTAAAGAAAATATCAAAGGAATGGTTCTAAATCAAAGAGAAAAATAAAGATGTATCCCATCAACCAATTCTCACCTTAAATTAGAGTTAAAACGATATGTTCTCACCCAAAAAATGACCCATTGACAATTTCATACCCACCCATTTTTTAAAAACCCTTTTACTACCCAAATATTATGTTTTGGGTGGGAAATACAATGATTTACAAAAATATCCTTAGCCTCTTCCATTGTCGCCTAGGAGCTAGGTGTTGCAATTAATCGAGCAGGTGGTGTGCGACCTTACGGCAACGAAGTTGGCGTGATCTGGGAGAGAACGGTGGCCGAAAAATACACAACACCAACAATCAATCAAAAGCGACTAATCCAGCACCAAAAACACTAACAATTTGCCAAGAAAATCGCCGCAAATCGCATGGTGTAAAGAGCTAGACATAGGCGGCAAATGGCATGCACAGAGGGTTGGGGGAGGGGTGGGTTTTGAAGAGCAGAGGGTAGGGAGTTGAACGGCGGTGGTAGGGGGCATTTTGGGTGACTAAATTGGCCAAAAAAAAGGCCAGAAAGATGGCAAATCGTGCAAAATCTCAGGCGGCGATTTCAAGCGATTGGCAGGTGCATTGAGCTCGGGGTGAACGAATTAAGGGTGAGAGAGGCTCGAGGAAGAGGATGGAGGAGGCGGTGAGTTTCAGGGTGGATTTTCGACACTGGAAATGACAGAAATCCAACTGTCATGTGAATGGAGGTGATGGTGGGAAATGGTGAGTGATGACGGCAAATGGAGGCTTGGGCTTTCTAGAGGAAGTGATGGGGATTCTGTGGGTGGTCTCCGAAGTGATTTTGGATGCCAAGATCTGCCAAAAAAGGGGAAAAACCGTCGCCATCTCCTTGCTAACGTGCGCCTACCCTTTTATTTCTCTTCTCCGGTGACCAAATGTTTGTTGACCATTTTGCCCTTACTAATAACAAACTTTTGACCATTTTACCCTTCCCCACAACAAAAATTACTAACCTTTGGGTACTAAAAAGGTATTTAAAAGTAGGTGGGTATGAATTTATCTGACTATTTTTTGGGTGAGAACATGTCGTTAACTCCCTTAAATTAACAAGATTATGTGTCACCAAGAGCCTAGCACTTTTATCCAAATAAAGGAAAATTACTAATTAATAGAAGCTTTTGCCTTAATGCCTACTCACTCCAAATCCATAATCATATGACTTCCATTTTTTTTTTTTTTTTTAAACGATTGGTGGTGTTCGGTCCGATTTACACACACCTCACCTAATTCTCTAGGACTCGAAACTATCGGTCGGATAAGAGCTTTAGTAACTATCCCTATTAACATCCGAGTTTTTTCCCTTATTCAATATTACTTATTGTATTATCAATCAATATTAATTATGCACTTTCTACTAGGCAATATTTTTCAAGTACTTCCAAGGGGAGATATCTACAAAATATGCACGAAAATAAATATTTAACTAATAAGATTGCACTGTCTATGTATTATTGTGATAGGATTTTATCAAATGTGCATATTGGGTCCGTTTTCTTTGTCTTTGTTGTAAGGATTCTAATAAAATATAATAAGCTCACACATTGCAAAAATCATAGATAAGATAGCATTGTCAATGAGCTCTGATTCATCAATGTGCATGTGGGCTGAATTTTGGGGTCATTCATGAATGACGATTTGCACATTCCAAAATCACCAATGAGCTTGCATTGTCTGTAGTTNAAATTTTTGTTTTCCGCTGCGCAACCGGGTCGTTTCCTAACATATGAGGTCCCTTAAAGATGGTCCCTACCATGTAAAGACCTTTGCAACCTTGGTGCCTTTTCCCATCACCCTCTTGATCCTTCTCCCTAGTGGGAGTCAGACCATCACCATACTCCTTGAAGTGTCCTGAATGAAGTCTTTAATTGCCTACTTTAGAGCTCGGTACTCATTGGTGTAGTG